ACTTGTTTTTATTTTCTTCTCTACTTTGGTTTCTCTCCTACTGGAACTTTTGCAGTTAAAGTCATTTTGCACGTAATTGTACTCTGATTGTTTTTTCTTCCTATTCTAGTTTCTTCACTGGCTAGACTTGATGTTTCATATTTCCTGCATCCTAACATTCCTTAGCGACCACTCCCCAGTACTGAGCAAGTTAAAAGTGCTCAAGAAGTACTTGTTGGCTACTTTATAAAAAAAATAAAAAGTGAAAAATAGCCAGTGGCTTTCTAAAACTACATTTTAAAGATTTTGTTAATTTGAGAGAGGGCGCGAGGAGCAGGAGGCAGCAGAGGGGACGAGGGGAGGGAGGGACGGGGGAGGAGAGAGAATCTCAAGCAGACTCTGCACTGAGCACAGAGCCCAACACGGGTCTCGATCTCAGGACCCTGAGATCACGACCTGAGCCAAAACTCAAGAGTTGGATGCTTAACCAACTGAGCCACCCAGATGCCCTTCAAACTGCATTTTAAAATATAAACACTTTTAAAATAGTGGCTAAATATTCCCAATTTGAAAAGTACTATTATTATATACATATATATATATATTTCTTTAAGATTAAGACCAGAGATGAAATCAAGAGTCAGAAACTCAACCTACTGACCAACCCAGGCGCCCCTATGTATAATTTAAAGACAAGTCTCCAAGGAAACAGGACTGGAACTCAACCAAACCTAAATTAGCATCCAGTTTTATAGGCAAAATTTCCACACAGGAGGCTTCAGCCTCTTTGTTTGGAGATCAAGGGAACCTCAAAAGGAGGCTCACTGTCTAAATGTCCTACAGTGGAAAGCCAACTCACCAGCTCAGTGACAACTGTCCCGCCACATCCAGTCTGGCACTGGTCCCTGCAAGGGAAGAAGGAGTCCTTCTTAAGACTGAGCTCAGCCACCTCTAAGCCCCTCTGGCACTCAGTCTCTTCCTCTGTAAAATGGGGTGACGCATGCTCCAAGAAGCTTTGGACCAGAGTCCATTTACGTCATGTGCTTGGCCCAAAGCAGGTTCCCTGTGAGTGTAGTCACTATCTATCTGATTGCTACTCCTTGCTTTCTCAACTAACGGCTGGGTGCTAAGATGCAAACTCGCAACGTACAGTCCACAAACAGGACAACGGTGCCAGCTGTGAGGAAAGACCCCGCAGTCTCCCGTTCTTGCAGAGAGAAGTCTCTCCCCAGAAATCTGTAAATATCCTAACAGCGAGGGTAAAATCCCCGAGGTGAGAGAGGGAGGGGATGGGGGCGCACCTGTGCAGCATTCAGCTTCTGTCACTGGGCCCAGATCTGCAGCTAAGTGAAATGCTCACGTTTCCAGTAATCACCTGTAGAAACCAAGATGATGACAATGGTGATGGCGATGAAGGAGAAAGCCACTCAGTCCATGTTTTCCTTTAGCTGTCCTCACCTGTGTGCTCTCTCATCTGGACGAACTCTCCACCATCTAAATTCATAGGGACCCCAACTCACGTACACATAGGCTTAAGTAGAAAATGGCTAAATCTGCCTTTTAAAAAATTGCCACAGATGTTCTAGAAAGCTTGATTATCCTGAGCTACTAGTTTGAAAAGTAAAGGCAAAATTTTGGAACCCCATCCTCCAGGACATTTTCTAATCATAAATCCCTTTTCTCCTTAGAACAAAAAACTAAGGTAATTTGAACTCTATTTCATAAAAAGGATCAGCCACTGATTAAATCTCTGAAAGCTGGTTCAATCTGCTTTCTATTCGTTGATGAATTCATTCACCATTGATGAAGTGAAAGAACTACCTTTATTTTTAAGTAACCTCCACACCCAACACCGAGCTTGAACTAACAACGCGCAGATACAGAGCCACGCGCTCTATGGACTGGGCCAGCCAGGTGCCTGAAAGAACTCCCTTTAACTTCACCTATCTCCTCTCTATCAAGGGAAGTAAGCCTCAGATCTGAAAATGCGGTTTATGTACCCAAGGCTACTGAATGCCTAGATTCAGACGGTCACAGGGTCGTGCTCTGCAGGTCCTGAAGAGAATATGCTCACCTTGGGGTCTTCAGAGCAATGAAGCTGAATGCCCAAGATGCGAGAAGCTGAGAACAGCCAGAAGCTACCCGGCCCCGGCTTTCCAAAAGAAAAAGCTAGATGTTGATAAATATATATCCGTGGAAGATCTGGCTGAGTGGAGTTCTCAGAAAAGAAAGCCATCACCACTCTAAGTCCACACTGGTTCGGTGTCTTTCTGAACGCCTTCAAAAGGGGAGCAGGGTTAATACACTGGGGCAATGCCTTTCGGTCACAAGATATCGGTATTTTCCAAGATACATGACCGTGTCTAATAAGGACATAATGGATATGATACAGAAGTCTAGGTGTGATGGTACGTATGCTCAGCTACATAAACCCAAGAGTGTCAGTGAAAGAATCTGACAGGGTCCGAGAGGAGGGCATCTACCTCAAACCAGAGCACACAGATTTGGTCCAGTCCCTTCCGGTGTATTTAATAACATCCATATAAACAGCCTCATGAATATTGAAATAATGCTAAGCTGGGAGAGATGTCTAATGTGAAGCTTAAGAAAAAAACCAGGAAAATGATAATTTAGTAAGGAGAAATGTAAACCTGCACCATGTTTAAGGAATGAAGACTAGAACTTCTTTAAGCGGCAGATAACTAATCTTGAATAACCAACATAAAACGCTAAGGATGACTCTACCTGTGATTTAAGGAGACAATGCTTTGGTGACTCCTGTTCTGAATTTCAGCCCCAGTTAAGAGCTGAGATTTCAGTTAATACCACCGGGCGGGGGTGGGAGAGCTGTTTTGGAAGCAGGAACTTCCAAAAGTTCTAGGTGCACTTGTATGGTCCTTTCCCTTTGGGTTTCTCATGTCTGTCCAGTTTTTTAATTCAACTTTGATCAAGACAGTTACAAATTCAATGTGGTTTTAAAAAAGAATATAGGGACATCCTCCGCACCTGCATCTCACAGTCAGAATATGTACACTGACACCATCTACGAAGCTTATTTCCGTTTCCTCATTTTACGCGCTCTTGTGTATTCAGGTCTGTGCAATTTAATCAATGTGTGCAGATCCACATACCCAGGACAGTTAAGATACGCTTAAGGTGGATTCTAACAGGCACCCTCCTTAAGTCTCCGTTTAGGAAGAAAAAAAATCACGTCATTCCCCGACTGGAAACACTGTGGGCACCGTAGCTTGGAATTACTCATGGGGCAGTAACCACTGCTCAGAGCCATGACAAATGCCCAGTGAAGTTTGCACCCTGGGTGAGACACAAACGATTCAGACCACAGAATGGAAGTCCCTCACCTGACCACTGAAGACTGAGAGACCAGAGTTGGGACTCCTTGCCCCTCCTCAACAAGGACAGGAACCCCGAACTCTTCCTGTCCAGTGGTCTCTGAGCTTTCTCTTGCGGCCCATTCACCTGATCAAAGTCTTCGGAGGGAGCTGCTTTGACGAAACCGGCGATCACCAGCATCCAGCTCCGTTAACTACAAACGAAATAAAGGATTGTGGTTTGGGGGCAAAGCGTGCGAACACCCAGCAGTGCGGATATTTCTTCACACCAAACGTCTACATAAACTGAAAAGGGGCAGGCATAGGTGGCACACCCTTCCAGTAATTCCGGACCCCCACTTCTCCTTTGCAGGCAACGCAGACGTGGGACAGGAAGACCTCGTGGCACTGCTCCACCAAAGTGAGAACTCGGCCTGAACGCAGACACTCCCTGGACCGGAACTATAGGAAGAGCCAAGCAGCAGCCTATTCCTCATCTGCGGGGCGCGCCGCAGCAGGGATTGGTAGGAAGATGGTTAGTCTTTCATGGAACGGGTCAGGCGCCGTCCCCTCTGCCGCGACTTTCGGAGCACCCTCCTACGGCCAGCGCTTTGTCCCGGGCCACGCGGCGGAGGCGGCTCTCGCGGGGGGCCGGAGCAGTGCGGGTGCGTGGAGGGTACCCGGGACACCCCCCACCCCAAGCCCGGGCCTGGGGGCAAAGCGCGTCGGTGCCGGAACAGGCCGGCAGCACGCGGACCCACGCGGGCCGCCCGCCGCGCTTCCGGTCTCACCTGGGCGGCCTCCGGCAGCCCGCGGTCCGCGCGAACAAAGGCGGGGGCGCAGGGCCGGTCGCGCGCTCCAAGATGGAGGGCTCCGGGGACTCGGCCCGCGCCCGCCCGCCCCGCCCCTGCCCGCCCCGCGCGGGCGCTTCCGCCACCTCACCTGCCGGGACTACGGCCTCCCGGAGCGGAGGGTTGGCGCGCCCGAGCCTCCAGGACCGCCCGGCGCTGGCGCGGGTGAAAGGGCCGGACGTCGCGTCGCGGTCCCCGAGCACCCCCAGACCCCGCAGCGCAGCGCGTGGTCCGAGCGCGCGCCCCGCCCACTCCCACCCTCCGGGCAACAGGGGCGGGGGCTGGGGCGGGAGGAGGGGGGCGGAGCGCGCTCCCGCATCCGGCGAGCCGCGCAGGTTCGCGTGCGCGCCGGCCCGCGCGCCGGGCCTCGCCCCCTCCCACCCTCTGGGTGACCAGTGGGGCAGTCCCGAGCGCGCACGCCCATCCCCAGCCCGCCGCACGGGTGCCGAGTGCTTGCCCGCCCTTGCCCACTCCCACCCTCCGGGCCCCTCGGATGAGACCCCCGAGCGCACGCCCCTGCCCCGAGGGCCTCTCTCCGCTCTATCTCCCGGCGGCCGCGCCGGTCCCGGAGCGCGCGCCTCCTCCCGCCTCTCCCAGCCTCCGGGCAGCCCCCGGGAGCCCAGCGCGCGCCCCGCCCCCTGCCCGCTGTGCAGCCCGAGCCTTTGAGCGCGCCCGCCCCGCCCCTGCCCGGCCCGCCCTCCCCCGCGCGCCGCGCCGCCTGCGCCCAGCTCCCTCCCTGGCCCCGGCCGGCACTTTCCTCCCAAGTTGCCGCGCAAGTTTGCCGGTGGCCGGCGGCGGCGGCGGCGGCGGCCCCGGCAGGCGCGCCGTAACCCTCCCTCGCCGTCGGCCGGCCGGGGCTCCTCGAGTGCATGGGCGCAGGCCGGACGGGCCCTGGGGGCTGAGCGGCCGCGCCGCCTCCGCGCTCCGTGTTCCGCGCCATGGAGGGCGCCGAGCCCCGCGCGCGGCCCGAGCGCCCGGCCGAGGCCGAGGCGCGGGCGCCCGACGGCGGGCGCTTGGTGGAGGTGCAGCTGAGCGGCGGCGCCCCGTGGGGCTTCACCCTGAAGGGCGGCCGCGAGCACGGCGAGCCGCTGGTCATCACCAAGGTGAGGCGGCCGCGGGACCCTCACGGTGACAGCCCCGAGGTCGGCGCGGGGCGGGGGGATCTCGTTGGGGGTGGGGGGGGCGCCGGAGGGGCGGGCCAATCGTGTCCCCAACCCGGGGGCGCTAGTGTGCTTGGGTCACCTGCGGGATCGGGGTCACCGGGACACTCAAAGGTGCGTGGTTCCGGCTGCTCTGCAGCGGCTCCCAGCGCTGCTGATTCCCAGCGCTGCGCAGAGTTTAAATGGCTCCTGTTCCGTGTCCCTTCCCCTCCCCCTTCGAGAAGGCGCCTGGCTGGGTCCCCTGTCACTCCCGGCTTCGCCAGCGGCGGCCTGCACCTGTGGGACTGACCAGGGGGCTGCTCAAGGAACAGTCCCACGTGCCAGGGGGGTGGACAGAACCGTCCCCACCTGTGTTTGTCACCGTAGGCCCTTGGTTCTGCACCCCCTTGAACCAGTCCGTTCCCTTATCACTAGGAAACCCAGACGAGCAGCTGTCGCCAACTCAGCTTCTCAATTCCCATCAGCCCATCAATATTTACTGACTCTCGGCTTCCAGCCCTAGATCCATGGCGCCCTGGGACCTGCAGACACGTACTGAAACTTTCAGCGTCCTTCTTCAAAGTGGGATTTGAGCTCCAATAATAAGTTTCTAATGTGTCTCATCAGGAAATGTTTTGCGTTGTCTGTGGTAGGGGAAGGTGGGTGGGTGCTTTAGACTTTGAATTCTATAAACAGCAATCGATCTTGAAATTGACCAGCTGAACTTGCACAGAGCTGTGAAAACAAAACAACAAACCTATCCTGTTTTCTTCTGGTTAAAAGCCTCCGTTTCTCTGGGGAGGGTTGGGCCAGGCTTTTCCTAGGGACAAAGTTCCCTTTAAAATGTAAAAATTCTTGGGGAGTACAGGAGTTTGAAGGTGACTTGCTGGGTTTTTTTCCTACTTTCTTGCTTCACTACCGGGAGGAAAGTATAAGATCACTCCTAACTCACCCCACCCGTGAATTTGGGAAGTGGTGTGGCTTTGTTGTGCGAGGTAGCGAATGAGACACCAAACTTTTCTGTATTTTCTCTAATTTTTGTATTCACAAAACCAGAGACTCCAAGGGGAGGCTTGTTTAGATGTGCACTGAATTTATGTTCAACTGGGGAAAGAGGCTGTCGTTGCTATAAATTTAATGTGTAACCCATTAACGAATTGGGGGTTCTTTGAAAAGATGGTGAGCAAAGTGTGTCCAGCTTGCCCAGCGAGGTTAGTTTTCTGCGTATATGTGTACTAAAGTGTATTACCCTGTGCCTTTTTAATAAAGGTTTTAGAGGACATTGCTGATAGTAAAAGTTTAAAAGATAGCAGGTAAATTACTAACACCCTTAGCGTTTCATGTATTTCTTTTAAAAAGAGGTGTACACACAATTCAACGTATCTTGCTCAGACTTGTTATTACAAATGAAGGAATAAGTTGCAAAACATTAGTTAAGGTGAAATCTTGCCTTCTGTCTTTACTCCATATAAGAAAGTTGGAGGTCACTTTAAACTCTGAAATTCAGTTGTTCAACCAGAGGCTGGAGAAGTAGATCCAAGAGCACCTCCTCCTTTCTGTGGGTACTCCAGGTTCTAAACATCCTAGTGGCCTCCTGTTCACTCTGTCCAAGACTTCCCAGTCCAGAGTGTGGTAGGTGGGCAGTATACCCAGAAAACATGTACCAGGGCCTTTTGGGGGCATGTGAGGCCCTTGGCCTCCTGATTTGGCCTGCTGGTTGGCTTTCATGGTACTTACTAAGGTGTTTTGGTCTGTTTTTGTTTTGTTTTGTTTTGTTTTGTTTTTCTTTGGAAAAGTTTCTTGTGGGTAGGCTAGTACCAGCGTATGTGCTCTGCCTTTCCAGATGGTGTTGTAGAATTTTGCAGGAATAAAAATGTTTGGGGTTCTTCTCTGAGAGGCCCATACATCCCTTCCTTAAACTGTTGCTATTTTCTCTAGATGCTGCAAAGTGACTGGAACTTGGTGGTTTCTTGGCTTGGTTTAGAAAAGGACTTGGGGGAGTTTGGGCCTTCTGTACTGAGTTTCCATGTACACTTGTATATGTGTGCAGAGATCAATACTCGTGCACGTGTGTATTATAGATTTTGAACTCTGCATTGCACAGAATTGGCACTATTTCACATGCCTGTCTTTTCTCTTGGATTAAGTCATCAATTATGCTTGCTTACACTCCAACAGCTGGTAATTAACTGTCACATTATTAGAAAAGGGTGAAGGAAAGTGTGTCCATTTAGAATCGCTTAAAGAGTGGGCATATGCTTTTGGAATAGAGGCTAGGAAAAATTGTTCCACCTGCAGAATTTGGATTAATCCAAGTTTTGACTCTCCCTTGGTAGCTACTGAAAAATATTTGGGGCTTATTATAACAGTTGTTATGCGGAACTCAAATTATAATTGTTCCAATAGGACTTTGGGGGGGCTTTTAAAAAAAATTGGACTTTTTTTTGGCTTATAAAAGAAGCTTATAATTAAATATTTTGTATATAAGACCCCTGGGAAATTATACAACTCATTTTCTATGTAACAGAATCTGATGTGGGGTAGCTTGAATGACTGTAAGGTGACACACTTTTTGTGATAATAGGGGTCTGACTTGGAAGCATCATAGTGTGCACATCTTAGAACTGTAAGCAATGCCAAGAACAAGGCTGATTGAACCCCTGATCTGCAGATCAAGAAATTTTATCAGCCCGTTTTGTAGATGGAACAGCTAAAGCAAAGGGAAGTGAAATGGTGTGCGCTGAGGTTGCAAACCTGGCAGGTCATGAGAAGGCTTCCAAGGACCAGCTCTTGATCCCAGATGTCACCACTTCCCCTCTACTGGGTTCCATCTGCTGTCCCTTACAAACACTTGCAGTGCCCTGTGAAGTAACTGTCACATCCATCGGGAGGATTTCTCAATTTTGGCACTACTGATTTGCTCGTCTGCATTCTCGGGGCGGGGGCGGGGGGGAGGCCTGTGCTGTGCTTCGTAGGATCTTAGAAGCATTCCCTAGCCCCACTCACTCACTTGATGCCCCCGGTACCGCCACACCAGCTGTGACAGTCAACAAAAGTCTCCAGAGTCTGTCAGGTGTTACCTGTGGGCCAAATTGTCCTTGTTAGATTAACAGTGTCAGCACTTTAGTTTTTTAAAAGGATTTTAGCTTTTAAAACTCAAGTTAATTTTTCTTTGTGAAGACACTGGCCTTTTGAAAGGTTTTCCTGAGGGGTTGTTTTCTTCCCAAGTGCTGACCCTGATAATAGGCTTTATTTACATAGTAAAACTCAAACAAATACTTGCTTCATCTGCATTTTTGTAGCTGGAGAAAGGAAATGAAGCTGGAACTCCTGAGTGCCGTGTTTTATGAGCCTTCCGTGGGGCCCTTGGGTAAGGACGGTCTTTTCTTTGGGTCTAGTTTTGAAGTCCAAAGGGACACTTACCCTCCCAGGAGCGGCATTCTTGGAATGTGACGTGCACGTGTGAGGTCCCACCGGACCTCTGCTGAGAGGCGGCGCCCACATTTCTCTCTGCTCAGCACCTTCACGCTGGCTTCTCTTTTGACATTTTACTGGGGCTATGAAACACACAATGCTGCTGTTTCTCCATGCTCCTGTCCCAGAGCGAGCCGAAGGGATGTCGGTGTCCTAAGAGGCCGCAAAGATTTTGACTCCTTAGTGTTTCCAAGGCCTCATTTTGATGTGGGTTTGGTCCGGGGACCGGATAATCTGATACGATGGGTGGATGTGGTCGCTGTTTTGGCCAGTTCCTTTCTCCATTGATTCAGCAAACGTGAAACATCAGTGGGGGGAAGGGAGAGGCCTGATCTCTAAAATGTCACTGGAGGGCCTAGAATTTCAAATGAGCCCTTAGGGATTCGTTAGGGAGCATTCTGTGCACCAGCTGGGTGTCAGTAGGCCCCCTGCCGTCCCAAGAATGTTTCTTAAAGGGGGAAGGAATGAAGCTTCACACCCTCCTTTTCGCCAAGTCCCTCCCTGAAGAATGCCAGGGCCTCGCCAGCAGCGCCAAGGAAGACGTTACTTTGGGCCTGGTGTGGTCCCATGGGTGGCTCCTTCGGGAAGCCGCTGACTTTTGGGTTGCCTGTGAGGAACACTGCTGTCCTAGAGCAAGACGGCGGAGCTGTGGCTTGAGATGCCCCCAGCCTGACTCTCCCGCTTGGGGGCTTTCGGGCCGTTTAAACATTTCTCTGGATACGAGACAAAGTCCTTAAATGTCCTTTCTAGTTGGATACTGAGGGTGAGGTGGAAGGGAATCAGGGCACATATTTTGAATGGAGGTTACACAGCCAGGTGGCAAATGTCCTGTGTAACCATTAGCCGAGCTCCTGACGGCCAAGGCCCAACGCAGAGACTGGCCGTTGGTGGTGGGTGGGGATGGGAGGCACCGGACACCGGAGGTCCCTTCCTTAATGGCTCAAACAGGGGCTCCATTTTACAGGACCTGGCTGAGTCGCTGTCGTAGGTGACCTCAGAGCCTGGAGCTAGTCGCAGCCTTGGTCAGGACGCGTCATTGTCCTCACCTGTTGTTATTTGTCCCCAACAGCCCAGTTCTTTGTCAGAGATCAGTAAAGGTTTTGAAAACAAGGGATGTGATGAATTCAGCAGGGGATTTGGAGCTGACAGATGTGCCCTTGTCTGTGGCTCTTGCTGGATCTCTGTGTGAAAGCCCGGCAGTGTGTGCACTCCAGGATCCTGGACGTCTGACTGCCCATCGTGGCCGAGGCTGGGAGAGCCCTGACACTTGCTGAGGCCAGCGGCCGACTGGCGTTGTTGGGATAACTGTAATTCAGAAGACTCATTTGTATGTTAAGAATCATTAGTATGGTTAAACAAAAACAAAAGAGAGGTGAGTTTTCTTTCGCGTGTGCTGAAAGCCCCTTTCCATTGGCCTCCCTGGTGTCTGTGTCACCCTGTCCCAGTCTCTGCCTCCCACAGGCGGCCCACTTCTTCCTTGGTCCTCCGCA